TATATACATATATTAATAGAAAGATAGACTATCATTTATTTCTCTATTTTTCATTTCACTGCTGGCTATTACATCATGCAACTGCATAATATCCGCATACTTCAACTTTTCTCACAGACATTCTTCCTCTTATTCAATTTTAGTTAAAATGTTTTGTGGAATACGAATAAAATATATTAACTTCAAACTAATTTTTACTTTTTAAGTAAGACTTATATAGTACTAGCATTTCCCGCGGCTCCGCTCGCGTTCAGATAACCAAAAACCAAATTCTTAGGTTTTACATATTAGAATACTCTTACATTGCAGTTTTAGTAATTTTCTTAGAAATGACATATTTTCCCGCGGTAAAAAGTATTCTATATGTTGACCCGGATAACCAGCTATTACCATACCAAATTTCATCAAAATCCCTCCAGTGGTTTTTCTGTGATGCGGTAACAGACAGACAGACAGACAAAAATTCTAAAAACTATAGATTCGGCCTCAGTATCGATAATAATGTATGTTTCAATAAGATTTTCCAAAAAATATTTAAGTTAGTTACAATTTTATTATATGTATAGATAGATATTCAAATGAAAAATGCATTTCATAAAAATCAACTTTTAGCATGTACTTTTTGCAAAAACTTACAATTTAAAATATATCCTTTTATTTAAATAAAAATATATTATGAATATACGAGTACATTATGCAAATGTAGTAATCAAACTAGTTTAAACAATGATATAATTGACGAAGTATCGTTGTGTTTATTTCGAAGCTCGGTAGCCCAGGTACTTTGCATTTATAAGATATGTTTTTAATATGTTTTTATGTTTAAACCTAGAGCACTGTGCACTTTATTCCATATAAATATATTCATTATTTGTCTATGTTAACAGAAGTTAAAGTTTTAGTTTGTTGGGTGACGGCTCATTTATTATAATCGATAAATAATCGAATTATATTCAAATTGGTAAAACTAAATTTAGACGCGTTACTGTTCATGTAACTTGATCGCCTCTATTATTATTTCTAAATTATCCGTCTTTTGTGACGCAAATGAAATAACTTTAGGGTTTATGAATGGCCGATATTTTATTTAATAACGTTATTTATAGCACGATTACTACCAATAAATAATTTCCGCTACTATATTTTCACTTCGATAGTAAAGATGATAATTTTGATAATTTTGTAAGAGAATTAATTTGAAATTCTGAATTTAGAGTAGAAAATAAATTTAAACTAAAAAGTATGCATAAAATCAATATGTAGTTGTGTTATAATTTGCAATATTGTTTGTAGCAGGCAATAAATACCTGTCTAAATAATCTCTCGAGATATTAATGATTGAGCGTCCAATTGATTGAGTTTTTTATATCTCATTATTTTATATATATATATATATATATATATATATATATATATATATATATATATATTTAAGTATAACTACGTAAAGTCACTTTTTTGTACAATCAGATACGTTTTGTACAATTATAAAATAACAGCAGATGTTTCTATGTCAGTAGAGTTTTTTGTGAAGGGATAAGCAGGAAATTCAATGTTTCATTTTAAGTAGGACGCGAGATTAAGCTCCTTTAAAAGAACACGTGCATAAGTATAGAGCTTTTACCTTTTAAAATTTTTTACATGTAACTATTTTTCTCCGTAGACATTATTTTGATCCTTAAAAAGACTGTTGTAAATATACAGCTTACGTTTTTTATATGTTTTTTGGTCACATAATTATATCTCTATTTTTTACATACGTAAAGCTTATTTTTAATTAGTATATTACGAAATGCACATATTTTTTTTAATTTATATGAGTGCAGAAGGATCAGATAAAGAGTTAAAACTTCTCATCTTACAATTATCGATTAAATGCAGATGGCTGATTTTTGATAACTGAGTGAAGAAGTATCTTCATACTATCTTTGCCGTTTTGGTTATTTTAGTAATAAAAAAATGAAAGTTCCGTACATCCGTAGTAAAGATGGATAATATCACTGGTTTGTTTATCTATACATATAATAAAATTGTAACTAAGTCGAATCTGTACATAAAACATTTTTTTGGAAAATCTTATTGAAATAGACATTATTATCGATACAGAGGCCGAATCTATAGTTTTTACAATTTTTGTTTATCTGTCTGTTACCGCATCACAGAAAAACCACTGGAGGGATTTTGATGAAATCTGGTATGCTGATAGCTGGTTAACCGGGTCAACATATAGGATACTTTTTGCCGCGGGAAAATATCTCATTTCTGAGAAAAAAACCAAAAACTGCAATGTAAGATATGTATACTAATAAGTAAAACCTAAGAATTAGGTTTTTGGTCATCTGAACGCGAGCGGAGCCGCGGGCAATGCTACTTTATACATATGTCAGAGCCTCCTTTTAGATATCTATTCGGGATACTGAACTGCGATAAATATGTAATAAAGTCAAAACCACATACCCTATATGCGACTGAAATTCGCACTTAATCGATTTTATAATTGTAACTACATATTAAAAACGAATAAATTTAAAGAACATAGGATTTAAATAATTATTTAATTAATTTTAACTTACTACCCTCTCAGTAATAATAGACATATTTATTTTCAGAGCACCGCGTACAAACAAATGAGGGCGTGAAATCGCTCTCACTGCGGGACAAGCTCCCCGCATAATGACGACGTCAGCATCTTTATTGATATATATTTTTTCATATAACTAACTTGTCGTTAACTACTTGTACAATAGCTTATGCTTAGTTAGTAATAGATAAAGTAAATACTAAATAATGTAAGGTTTTTATCTATCCATCAGGTCATGTGTTAAAAATTTCGAACTGCCATAGATTTTTTCGTCTGAAGTGTCACAAAAGTGTAACTTTAAGTGTAAGTGAAACTTAAGTTTAGATTTTATTACGTACATTTTTCCGGGATAAAAAATAGCCTATTTGTGTTTCTGATGTATGAACTATATTATTATAAAGTTTCATTTAAATCCAATGTCTTTCTGTGATGCGGTAACAGACAGACAAACAGACAGACAGACAAAAGCTTCTGTACCGATCGTAATGTTTATTTCAATAAAAAATTCCAAAAAATATTTAATGTACAGATTCGGCTTAGTTACAATTTTATTCAGAAGTTATGTATATAAATTAACTGTGTAGACTGTAGATATATAATAATTGTCTATCAGTAGCAACATGAATGAAGTGTACATGCAACCATCGGTCCCCATTGTTATCGATTGATAGTACGTTGTTGTTAGAGCATACCATAGACTCTTTAACTGAAAATCTGATATATCTTACCAAAAGTTTAGTAATAGTTAGAAAATAAATAAGAAGATATACTTAACCAAGACCAAGTGCGGGTTGACGAACTTTACATGTGTTTCGAAAACTTTTCGAAAACATTTTTGTTTCTTAGCTTAAAAGCTTTTTTCGAAAAGCTTTTAAGCTAAGAAACAAAATGTTTAGACTATTACTTTTTCTATGCGTAGCAAGAATTACCTATATAAAGTTTATATTAATAAACTTATTATTATATAATATTATTTTTAAGTGGAAACTTTACTGGTTTATGTGTTATATATAATTATTTATTTCTTTGTAATACTTCACTGTATGTTTCCCAAGTATATTAAAAAATAAAAATAAAATAAAATAGTATATGTATAGAACACATAAAAAAATTATTGTAACTGATCGCTGTCTGTTCATGGAAGATATTTAAGAAAAACTATTATTGGGAGGCTTTATTAACTTAATAGAACCCAAAACAATGATTTTTAATTTTTTTGTGTGTTTGTCTGTGCGTTTGTGCGCGCTAATCTCAACAACGGCTAAACCAATTTGGGTGCGGCTGTCACTAATGTATTGTGGCAAGATTCACTTAATATTTAGTATGTTGTTTTAAAGTCAATTTAAAGAATCACATCAAACATCTATGAAAAAAACTAGCGACTAACGGTTAAAACGTACCTGAGGACGAACCCGAGCGAAGCAAGGGTGAGTCGCTAGTTTAAATATATTTCACAAGAATGTGCTTTTACTTGTATTAGGTATAAATAATATCGCTGCGTTAAATGTATTTTTGCTTATTTCATTAAACCTATTACGAGTACAAAGCAAAAAATCTATTAAATTAAATGTATGTAGGTGTCATACTAATATATGATTATATTATTTTATGGACACTATGTATTTTATTACTAGAAAAAATAGCGCAGAAAAGCTCCAGATTATATGATTTATTATGATTCGATGATAAAACAGTATATTTTATAAATTTAGGTTAATTTAAATTATTTCTATGAAAATAATGACGTGATTACTCTAAAGTAAATTATGATTAAACATATGTACATTAAACAGTTAAATTAACGCATTCGCCGTAGTTAGCGCACTACACGTGCCATATACACGATGCAGATGCAGCAGACTCACCTTCAGTTACGTAGGTAATTATGTTGAACCAATTTATGCATCTTGATACTTTAAACCTTAATAAAAGAGTAGAATTTTATAAAAAATTATTTCAAATATTCAAAAAATGGCAATAAATTTTTGAAATCATTTTTGTAAAATAGTGGGTAGGCACTGTCTGTAATATGTATGTGTTTGATACGTCTATAACCTCAGTCTCTCCCGTGACCGTGATTGCTGTAAAGCATTCGAAAGGTCGGGAACTAAAAATCAAAATAAATCCGCGAAAAAATCCGAAAAAATAGTCTTATTTAAAATGTCAAATATTCGCGTAAATCTAAGAAAGTATTAAAAGAGCAGAACTTTGTTATGTGAATAAGTATATGAGAATTTGGAAAAAATAAAAATAGGAAACTCACATTATATAATAATATATGTAAGTAGAAATAACACTGTTTTTTATCTTAAATAAGAAAGTAAATATACTTATAAATATGTACATAAATAATAAAAACAAAGATATATTTGGTAAATAATATTACGCACGTGATGTATGCGCATTCAAGTTTATTTACCTGCCAACCCTGCAGGAGGAGCGACCGGTCAACAGTCCGTAGCCACATAACCGCGTCGCCGGCCTGAAAGTCGCGTAGGCGGTGACAACGGGTGTGAAGAAACATGCCCAAGCACTTGAGCAACTCCGATGTGGACGCCTGTATCACCGTCTTCCTGGGCGCCGGAATTGGGGCCGAGCCCACCGCGCTTGTCGGGAGCTTTTCGGCATAACATACATTGTTGTTGAGAGCATTCGTCCGCGCTACCTCTGCGTGCGGCGGTAGCGGCGCTACCGGGGCCCGCGCGTATATCGCTCCCCCCACGCTCACATTCTTGTTCCTATCCAGCGGTGCATTGTCCGCTAACGGCGCTCGGAACGTCGTAACGCTTTTGCTTTTGCATTCTAGCTTCTTCTTGTTATTATTAGCCGTCGAGAACCTCTTCCAAGACAACGCATTAATGAACAGCGAGTGCTTTTTCAGATTCTTCTCTAAGGCGGTCTTTTCGGAGATGATCTTGGCGGCATCGTCGAGGGTGGCGCGTCGTTCATCGCGGGGGGCGTCTCTGTTCTCTCTGTTTTTGGCATTGTTGAGCCGCTCGTAGGAGTAGGCGAGGGCGGCGCGGTCGGGCGGCGGCGCGGCTGTGGGCGGGCGCCGCTCGCGCGGGCTGAAGCTCAGCACGGTGCCCATGAGGCCCGCGCGCGTGTAACCGCTAGGTGCCCGCATGCATCGCGTGTGCGGCCTGCGACGGTGGCGGCCCGTTTGCGGGCTCGATAGCCCCGCGCCTGCGCCCTACGGCGTATCGACCGGCCGCCGCCCAAACCCCGCTCGCCCCCTGCTCCCCAATAAACAACATCGTCTCACTAAATCACGGAATTACCGATCGAGAATCCACTCGATTCCAATTAAGCCTATCGCTGGTCGAACATCATGCACGGCGATGGACAGGTGCTGTTTTGAGATGATCAACCTGCATTTGTTATATAATAATGCGGTAACTCCTCTAGGCTGGCTCGCTTCCTATAATCGAATCTCTTCAATAGTTTTTCCTTATATTTTCTTCGTCAACATTCTACCTACATCTGCAACGCCTGACCTGAATACAATTTTCATTAAAAAATAGCGAAGTTATTTCAAAGCATTTGCAGATTCGCTCGAGAGTGTGGGGTTCATTGTGTATTTACGTCTAGAATTAATTATTGATGCAAAAGTTTATTTTTTTATACATATATTGCTATAATACATTTCTAAGCGGAGGTGGGAGAAGAAATAATTTAAAATGCGTCGTAGCTGGTGACATACATTATTTGATTAGAATTACTAATCTGAAAAAAGTCCTTTAAATTATTTAGATACTAAAATTCTTATCTAAGCTCTTACTCTACAATTGATGACGTAAGGGACTCATGCCGGACTTATAGTTGACTTATATACAATACTAGCATTGCCCGCGGCTCCGCCCGCGTTCAGATGACCAAAAACCAAATTCTTAGGTTTTACATATTAGTATACACTCTTACATTGCAGTTTTTGTATTTTTTTCTCAGAAATGAGATATTTTCCCGCGGTAAAAAGTTGACCCGGATAATCAGCTATCACCATACCAAATTTCATCAAAATCCCTCCAGTGGTTTTTCCGTGATGCGGTAACAGACAAACAGGCAGACAGACAAAAATTCTAAAATCTATAGATTCGGCTTCTGTACCAATAATAATGTCTATTTCAATAAGATTTTCCAAAAAGTATTTAATGTACACATTCGGCTTAGTTAGAACTTTATTATATTATGTATAGAAGAGTCCTCTAACTGTATGACTAATCTCGTATAGACGAGACTACATACAGTTACATAAGAGTATAGTACCTATTAAGTATATTTTTTCATTATCGATCTACAACTCGTACGTTAATGAGAAACATTAAATTTAATAGATAATGAAAAGCATGAGATTAAAATAATATATTCATAAAAACATAATGTCAATGGAAGGTTCAGCGTTAAATTCATAATATAATATTCAGAGCAAGTCCTTACGCACCGTTGGTTCCATCACGTCATATTACGTTACCTACCCCTGTATAATTTCCATACACCTAGTGTTGGGTGAAGCCGACAACCGAGACCCCTTTAGTTAGGGGGCCTCGTCGATGCAAACTAGAGTTGCCTTAATCAATATTTCGAATGAGCTTATTACCTACAGAGGTAAATAAATATTATACTGCTGACTTATTAAATTTAATATATTAGTTGTTATTCATGAAAGTGTATTATTAATAACATAAATTTATCATACAAACATCGAAAAATATCTATCGAACTGCTTCGATTTTACGTGTTTCTTTAGATCGTCACAATCTATTTCATTTATCTTAAGTAATATGAACATTTTGTTTATTTTTAAAAAATATTTAATTTAAAAAAACATTATATAAGTATTCATTTCAATTTTCAAGAGAAAAAAATCTTTTATCGCGTCACACTTAAGCGTGTCACTGCGAAATAGGACACTTCCATTGGCTCTCAAGTGTTTAATATTACCATTATTTCAAAATGAATACTTCACATTTTACAAGAATACCGAGACAATATTAAAGAGTATCAAAGAGAATAAGTGTGCTTACACTTTTAGAAAAAAAATTAGTAGGTATAGAAAAAAAATCTTTAGTGACTCACACTCACTTCGCTTCGGAGTTCGACCCTTACAAATCGACACATCACGCACCGTGATTCGTGACCAAAAATTTACAAAACCTCTACCCTCTATTACGCGACAACGCGTAATTTTTCTATTCCCTAATAAAGCCTATAACATATTCGACCAAATTCAGTTACTCACCAGAGAAATACATTACAGCTCTACAGTAACACTTTTTTAATCTAAAGAAAAAATAAAAATAGCCTATGTCACTTTCGGCTAGATATTTCCGGTGCAGACAGACACTTTAAATTTAATTTATATAGTACTAGCGGACCCGACAGACGTTGTCCTGTCTACACGTCTTTAATTTGAAAATTTCAAACTTTTTTTAATAATTTTTTTGATGAAAATTATTATTCAAATTGTGAATCTAAACCATTCCCAGATCCCCTTGAACACACACAAAAAATTTCATTAAAATCGGTCCAGTCGTTTGAGAGAAGTTCAGTGACATACACACTCACAGAAGAATTATATATATAAGGATAAATATAAAGAAATAACTTGACTAAGTAGATACATATATGGAAAAAAAACTCAATAGGTGAAATTTAATGAATATTAAAGTACAATTACTTATATATTATTTTCCAATATCGTCTCGCGATCTGAAAATACGTTTTATAATAAAGACCATTGATCTGGACATCCGGAGCGTGGGCGGCTGATATGCGAAGAATTTTCATTAATATATAAAAATAGTCTCAAACAAACATAACTCCATATACTAGAAATTCATTCAAAATGGAGACTCTGAAAAACAGTTTTTATATTTAAAGAAAGTTAAAAAAAAGTCAAATAAGATGTTAGAATATGAACATAAGCGCTATTATGTTTACAAATGAAGTAATTATGTTTGGAATTCTGTATATCCTAATGGATATGCATGTGATTATCTGTAATGTTTACATATTTTTAATCAATTGTTCTTTAATATTATATCAAAGATTTCATTGTTCATTTAGACTTATTGTACTTTAATATTATATCAAAGGTTTCATAGATCTTAAAAGACTTATTGTTCTTTCATGTTATATAAACAACATTTAGAATTATCAAATTTCCAGTAATTGTTAATGAGTGTAGAGTCCAGAGACTGTTTGTTTACTTTTCCCAAATGTGTTTACATTTGTATTGGTTTATAATGTCCTCCACCCATAATGTTAGGCAGTTCTTTGAGTTCCTTGAGTTCCTTCGGACCTCCGAGTCAGCTATAGTATAGCAAGTAAGAAAGTTATAATTTAAAGTTATAGTTAACTGTCGTGTGATAAATAAATATCTATCAACGTCACGCTGCTGTTTGTATCTCAAGACCCCCCCTGACCACCGAACATTACATATCTATCAATTGATATCAGTAAATGGGAAAATATTATTATTATAATATTGACTCTGAAAGAAAATTACATTTATAACAAAATATACAAATGAAAAATGCATTTCATAAAAATCAACCTTTAGCATACATACTTTTTGCAAAAACTTACAATTTATAGTAGGGGAGCCCAAGAGGGGATTTTCTGTAGTTACTCGAGCGCGGCAGATTAACATAAAAGAGGTTACCTTGCACTCTATTGAGTACTTTCACCATAATATAAGTCTTCTATATAAAGGGGCACGTCTAGGGAAGCCGATTAAAATATTTAAAAAATGTTTTGATAAGGTAGAAATACTTGAAACCGTCAGATTAAGGTGTGGTAGGCTAGTCACAACCAGAAAAGTGTCCAATTCAATAATCTGCCGATTTGCACAAGCCGAAGAGGCAAAAATCGACTATAAAGTTTATGATGACTTATATTATGGTGAAAGTACTCAATAGAGTGCAAGGTAACCTCTTTTATGTTAATCTGCCGCGCTCGAGTAACTACAGAAAATCCCCTATTGGGCTCCCCTACTATTAACAATATTGCCTTTGATATAAATAAAAATATATTGTGAATATAAATTAAGCAAATGTAGTAATCAAACTAGTTTGAACAATGATATAATTGACGAAGTATCGTTGTGTTTATTTGTTACCGCACTCACGTACCCCATTTAGTACTCGTATAATTATTCATCACCCTCCACTTGGCTTTTGGTTGATATGTGGTTGTATTGAAATTATTACTACATATATTTCCAAAATGTCAATATTTATTATAATAATTCTTTATTTGAAAAATTACAATATAAATTTTCAATTATTTAGAATTAGCGGCTCACTCTCGCTTCTTTAAAACCAAATCTATCCCACGGGAACTGTACGTTTTTTTCGGATAAAAAGCCTATGTGCTATTCCAGACTATAATCTATCTCTGCGTCAAATTTCATCCAGAACCATTTTGCCGTTCTGTCGTGATTGAGTAACAAACATCCATCCAAACATCTAAACTTCCACATTAATAATATAAGTATAGATTAATTAGACTTTTAAAAAGTTATTTTGTTTGCTTTTACAATTTCTGGAGCTACAGAACTGATTCTAAATCTTTCATCAATAAAAAAAAATGAATAACCTTAAATATATTTATCAATATCAGCGATCGAAAATTAGTAGCGACCTTAATCATTTTCTTATTATTGTTTGTAAAATAAAATTATTGACGAACGATTATTGCATTTTTATTTATGACTAGCATTGCCCGCGGCTCCGCCCGCATTCAGATGACCAAAAACCAAATTCTTAGGTTATACATATTAGTATACTCTTACATTGCAATTTTTGTATTTTTTTTCTCAGAAATGAGATATTTTTCCGTGGTAAAAAGTATCCTATATGTTGACCCAGATAACCAGCTATCACCATACCAAATTGCATCAAAATCCTTCCAGTGGTTTTTCTGTGATGCGATAACAGACAGACAGACAGAAAAGACAGACAGACAAAAGTTCTAAAAACTATAGATTCGGCCTCTGTGTCGATAATAATGTTTATTTCAATAAGATTTTCCAAAAAATATTTAATGTACAGATTCGGCTTAGTTACTATTTTATTATATGTATAATAGATAGAAACGACTGCCCAGACGCAAACGCTTGCATCA